GCCCCTGCTTTGGCAGGAGGGTTGGACTGGGTGACCCACAGAGGTCCCTTCCAACCCCGACCATTCTGTGATTCTGTGACTGCACCGTGCTTACTGACTCGGTTCTTGTGGCGTTGCTGGTGCTGGCCTGGCGGGAGAGCAGATGTGGGTGGATTTGGAGCGCAAGGCAGACCTTGGGAGGTTTAAACTCACCGCTGGGAGGTTCCACGGAGACCCGGTGCGAGATAAATGTGCGTGAGTTTCATTAAAAATATGCTAAGGGAACCATCTTGAGAGCTTGGGATTTGCTGTGCATGGCAATGAAAGTATTTTTTCTTTGCGAATGGAGAAAAACATAAGTTGATGTGGGTGGATTTGGAGCGCAAGGCAGACCTTGGGAGGTTTAAACTCACCGCTGGGAGGTTCCACGGAGACCCGGTGCGAGATAAATGTGCGTGAGTTTCATTAAAAATATGCTAAGGGAACCATCTTGAGAGCTTGGGATTTGCTGTGCATGGCAATGAAAGTATTTTTTCTTTGCGAATGGAGAAAAACATAAGTTTTACTATTGCACTGATGCCTTCCCAGGTCTACAAACTAGTGAAGGTTATAAATTTTACGCTATCTCCTCATGATTTAAACCATGTAGTAACAAAGGGAAGACTTCTTCCCTCTGAGGGTGACGGAGCCCTGGCCCAGGCTGCCCAGGGAGGCTGTGGAGTCTCCTTCTCTGGAGATATTCCAGACCCGCCTGGACGCGGTGCTGTGCAGCCTGCTCTGGGTGACCCTGCTTGGGCAGGGGGTTGGGCTGGGTGACCCACAGAGGGCCCTGCCAACCCCAACCATGCTGGGATTCTGTGACTCTGGTCATTCAGTATACTGTGAAATATGAGCAGAAAATAGATTATGGTGGGGGATACGTTAAGATTTTTCCCTCCAACTTGGACCAGAAGAACCTGAGTGGAGATTCACAACATTACATCATGTTTGGTGAGTTTATAGTTGTTTACTCATACTACAGTACTGTCGCTTCTGCAGTTGTGGAAATGGTCGAAAAAAAATAAAGGAAGGCTGTCTTAAAAAAAATAAAGGATGTTGTGACTGTAAGGCATTAGCTCTTCCATGCTTGAGAGATCTCTATTTATTAACAAAATATGTATTTGTGGAAACATTCTGAGCTGATTTGAAGGACATAACTGAAGATTATTAGAGTGAGCTTAGAATAAAAGTAGTTGTTCAGCAACATTTTTTTTTTAAGACCTTTAACTGAAGCAACATACTGTAGGCCATTATCTGCCCTTATATACTGATATTTAATTTCCAGTGACTTAGTGAAATTTGTACATTTATATGTCAAAGTGAACTTTGTAATTATGTATCCAATGTAATTATACTGTTATTCATCTTGTGCCGTAGATAATTTTTATTTTGCCTGGATTTTTAGCTTCTGAATAACAGTAGGAGGCCTGATTAACATCTGTTTAATGAAATGGACATGTTCAGAGACCTCTGAAGACATCTGTGAACATACAGACTGTTACCAAAAGTATCAAAACCACGCAAAATCTAATTCTAAGGTAGACTTAGAGACTTTGAGTAGAAGTCACGTCATCCATTAAAAATGGAATGGAATACATCAAAATGCGTGGAATGGAAGAGATGTCTAGCAGTATTAGAAGGAAATGGTAAACAATCTGTATTTTTCTGCAAAGAAGTTAAGGATACAAAGCATATAATCTCTTTGCAGGGCCAGATATTTGTGGATCTGAGACAAAGAAAGTGCATGTTATTTTAAATTACAAGAATAAACCCCATCCAATCAGGAAACCAATCAGATGCAAGGTAAATACACATTTCAAAGATACATAAACTTTAAAATAAACAAGTTACAGGAGTATTAGGAAGAAGAAAAAACAAACCAAAACCCCAGACAACTGTTCCAAACACGTAACACCTTTGAGTAGTTCTACTTTTCATCGTGTCTTATGTTAATTTTGGGATTTCAGATATTTTTTAGTTTATGATACACTTGCAATTTAATGATTACATTTGTAATAACTGATACTGATACAGGATGGAAGAAGGTTGCAATGGTGCTGTATGTTATTAAGAAGTGTTTGTGCTTCTTAATTGCAACTTTAATGCCACTTTTTCTAGTGAGGAAGTGCTTTCTCGTAATACAAATGTAAGATCCTGGCAATGTTTTAAATTTTTTTACTTTTAACCTATGAAGTAAGCCTTTTTATGTGCTTTTGCAGTAGCTATTTGGTATATAAATAACTTGTATTTGATATTAACTAAAATAATTACTTTATCTGATACTGTTTTCAATCTTGTGACGATTCTTGCCAATCAGATATAGAGTGTGTTTTCTTGCAAACATTTAGTTTTGTTCAGAGACCCAGATGGGAGGACTGGAAAATATATGTGAAAAATGTCAATTTTATTTTCCCCCTTTATGAGACTTTGGAAATTATTTTTTCTTACTACTGCTTATGAAAAATCCATTAGAAATCAGTATTATATTTCTGGTACAAGGCAGTTCCTAAGAGCTATACTTAAGGTTCTTAAAAAATTTTACCTGCTTTCTTTAAAACCCAGGTTGATGGATATACACATCTATATTCTTTGATTATAAGGCCAGATCAGACTTATGAAGTAAAAATTGATAACGAAATGGTCGCATCCGGAAACTTAGAAGATGATTTGGATTTTTTGCCACCGAGGAAAATTAATGATCCAACGATGAAGAAACCCACTGACTGGGATGATCGAATCCAAGTTGATGATCCAAATGACATCAAACCTGGGGTAATTTCCTCTTCTTTTTCTGTGGTGCTGGATTATTTCATTTCTACTGAATGCATATTTGAGATAGTTGAACTGTGCACGAGCTTTGCTTTCTTAATCTTGCTGTGCCTTTTTAAAGGATTGGGATGAACCCGAATACATCATGGACACTAGTGCTGAGAAACCTGAAGATTGGGAGGATGCTGTGAATGGAGAATGGCATTATCCTGTGGTCAAGAATCCTCTATACAGAGTACAAATAATTTCATAATCCTAGCTATGGATAGCACTTTAAGCAACTTTTCTTTGTATGACTGTATTCCAAACGTGGTTTATCCTAGGGTGAATGGAAACCAAGGCAGATAGATAACACAAATTATAGAGGAGTTTGGCCTCATCCACAGATTGACAATCCAAATTACTCACCAGACTTCAGTATCTACAGCTATGAAAATATTAGCATAATTGGACTAGGTCTCTGGCAGGTGAGATGCCTTTACTGGAAAATAAAGAATTTTTCTCTTTCTGAGTATATAGCAACTTGTTTACCCTTTACATATAAACATTATCTATTGTTTTGGGATCTTAGGGACCTATATCTTTAACACACTCTTATGTAAATATATGTATAAAATTGAAGAATCTGTAAGACGCACCGATCTTCTGTTGTAGTTACTGGTTGAATGCTACTCATCTGCAGGTAAGTAATTTGTGTAAGTATTATAAAGTATGATTTACTCCACCTGACCTGAGGTGTGGAACCGAGGCTTTGAGCAGCTCAGTTACTCCTGACTTACCCGAAGATTAACAAGGAGAAAACTGTCCTCTGGGGTGCCTCAGATCGTCCTCTCTCTTGGATTTCTTGACTAGCCAGTGATGAGACTTAAAACTTCTTAAAGAGCAGTGAGGTCCCTGAAGTTAAAACAAGTTCTTTAGATTCTTGAAAACAGTTGTCCAAAAAGAGAGAATTCTTCATCAAATTCTGCAAAAATCTTTGGGGTTCTTAACATGCTTATATCAAATATATAATACATATTTTAAAAAAACCAAAAAAATATTACAAAGAGGCATCCTCATTTTTTTTCCTTATTCCTTCAAAGGTGAGAGCTGGCACAATTTTTGACAACTTCTTGATAACAGATGATGAGGTTTATGCAGAAGACTTTGGAGATGAAACATGGGGAGAAACAAAGGTAACATGAAATCGTTGTGTCTGGTTTGGTTCTTTATTACCAGATTTTAAAAATCCCCTGTCTAATCTGATCGAGAACCTATTGGTGCATAAAAATTTAATATTAGGGTCCTGAAAAGGAAATAAACATAAAGCAGACTGAGGAAGAGCAGGGTAGAGGAAGAGTTACAGAAGAAAAATACTTTCAGCAACGGTTTAAAAAAAAGCTAGGAAGAAAAAAATCTGGAAAAGATAGAGCAGTGAGGAACACTATCGAGAAGGAAGAGCTTGAATTGTTGTGTGAAAGAAGTTAACTTTTTTTTTTTACTTAAATCTCTCTATAGAGATTTTGATAGTTTCTTAACAGCTTGTTGGAATCTGCAGTGATACAGTTGTATTAAAACAGGATTTTTTTAAAAAATTCAACACTAAATTTTGTGACCACTTTCAGTTATGTTTACTAAAAATACCATAGCATTTAACTTCTATATAGAAATGTTATTTTTTTATTAACTGTATCTTAACTGTGCTAAAATGTATTAAAAGCACCTCATAAAGCACTAGGTTTTGGAACTGTTTTACACTTTCATGGCTTAATATTAAATGTAAAATTTATGCTCACTTTTGTTGAGGAAATATAATAAGCTTTTAGTGATATTAAAGGGTTTGGCATGTCAAATGTGTGAAGTGTGTTTCACAACATGCTTCAAACTAAGGAGGAGATAAGCTTTGCTAAGCTTCTGTAGCCATTGTGCACCTGTCAGAGTTTTGGGGATTGCTGCAGCTGTAAAGTTGTCACAAACGCACCAGGGCTGCGCTGGGCTGTTCTGCCGTTGCTTGTCTGCCGGTGGAACATTCTAGTGCTCTGTCTCCAGTGTGGGACCTGCGTGGCAGTAGGCTGTCCAGCGACAGATCTGTCCTTAAAAGTTTAAATGGATTCAGACAATTTTTTCTCATTCAAAAGTCTGAAATGAATACATTCAATGCCTGGAAGCTGGCTTAAAGTTGTTGGTTTTTTTGTTTTCTAATAGGGTGGGTGGAGGAATTTGAAACAGTGAATGGCGTGCCTACTTTTCCGTCTGACCTCTCTTGTAACTCACTCTCATAACTTGTTCAGTCACTTCAACCCCTCTCAGGTCCTTCTGCATTCCCCCCACCAAAGGATTAATGCTATAAATTTAGCAAAAACTGAAGGCGGTCTTCCAGAGCCAATGGTTTTGGTGTTGTGTGGTGAGGAGAGAGGGTGTGGGAGGATCTGGGGAAGCCCCACCTTCAGCTGGGCCAGTTTCTAGCTTGCGGAGCAGCGGAGGTCAAACTCTTTTGCTTCTGCTTGTCTGAGTGCTGTCCCCTGTGAAACAATTCCCATGACGCTGTGGGGTGAATAACTCTAAAGCTATCGAAATACACTGTAATGACAGTTGCCCTTTACCTTTTTTCCCTGAACAAGTTCCTGCTGGTTTGGCTTTTATATGACCCTGTTGATCTAGCCTCATTCAGGCTGCTGCTCAGTATTTGCACATTCCAGGCCGAGATTTGTTAACTTTGTTATTCGATGTCGCGTATTTCATCATAAACCAGAGGAAGCTTAATTTGATGCAGTCTGTTTTGACAAGGTTTAGTGTAATGAAGTAAAAATAACGAGGTTTGTCCAGGAGGAGGTTAGAGGCAGGTCATCCAGCTCAAAGGCCGATCAGTGCCTGGACGCGGTTACCTGGACGAATAT